TGTGTCTGAGACCACATTTGAACTCAGGTCCTCCTGACTCCAAGGCCAGAACTCTATCTCCTGCGCCACCTAGCTGCCCCTGGCCAGTTCTAGGAAACTGAAGCTGGGGGTCTGCCTCTGGGAATTTCTCTCCTCTAGTGTCTGACCTCCTTTCAAACTAAATGATAGGACATCCTAGGATGATAAAACCTTGGAGGCTATTGATTCCAATCTGCTCACTTTACAGATGAGGAAACTTGAGGACAGGACCTGCATCTTGTTCATCTTTGGTTTTCTCACAACCCCTAGCATCAGATATTCATGAAATGAGAGAAGGGAAAAAACTGTCCCTTGCTGATATAAACTCCATGAAGGCTGGACTTTTTCTGTATCTGTTGTTCATAGTTGTCTTGGGAAATTATGTAACTACGTGTGTTGGAAGTCTTACCCTTTACCTCCCTACCTCTTGGTGGCAGAGCTATAAGGAGAGGCAAGGGCCTGCCTCACTGTACAAAGTTGGGGAAGAGGCACAGAAAAATAAACAGAGTATACATTGACTCCCCCAAGAGGATCAGACTATTAGGATGGGGGGAGGGAACTAATTTTGCATTCTTGCCTCATATATGAAATTAGTGATAGTGCTGCTAGGCAGAACTATCCCTGAACCCTCCTGGATTTGCCACTTCTGTTATTTTTCATTCCCTCTTGGGCATAGCCTATTCAGAATTTCTAATTCTTTCAAATTGCCAACTGTGGGCCCAGTGAATGGACACAAAGCTGGATTCTGGAATCCTGGGGTTTCAGAACTGCTTGTCCCACAACTGTTCTTTAAGTAACAGGAGAAAAAAATCACTTTTTCTTCATCTTTGAATAAGAGTAATACTTGATCCTTTTGTACTTCACAGATGGGAGAATAAATAAATCTTTATAGACTTGTTTGTAACTTTTGAGAAAGAAAATACTAAAGGAATAAAAGTGATTTTAAATAACTTTTACTTTTGTTTAAATTTTTTTTTTAGACCTCAACACCCAATGGAAATATTAACTTGGGACCTTCAGCAAAACCAAAGTAAGTTCTTAAAGGTGAAGAAACTGAGGCCTGTGGATGGGAGAAAATACGTCTGTTACTTAATGGATTTTGTGATTCCCTTCTTCTAACCTCCTGCTTACAATCTGTTTTGCACACTATCAACTATCAGATTTCAGCCTTCCTAAAGCACATACTTCCCCTGCTCAAAATCCTTCACATGGCTCCTCATTGCCTTGTGCAGTGGTCTTCAGACTTTCATGTAAATGAAAAATGTTGAGTATACATGTCTGCCATGTATATATTTACATGTACTACTATTGTAATAATGATATACATTATATAACTTATATAAAATAGATTAACAAAAGTATGAGATGAAGATGAAGTAATATTTGATCCTTAATCAAATATTACTTAATAGTTGATAGGAAAGCAGCTAGGTGGCACAATGGATAGAGTACTGGCCTGCAGTCAGGAGGACCTGAGTTCAAATCTGGCCCTCGGAAACTACTAGCTGTGTGACTCTGGGCAAGTCACTTAACCCTGATTGCCTCAGTTTCCTCATCTGTAAAATGAGCGGAAATGGCAAACCATTCCAGTATCTTTGCCGTGAAAATCCTAAATGGAGTTATGAAAAGTCAACTGCGACTAATTGACTAAACAACAATCTAACTGGAAGTCACTGGAGTTTATTGAATAGGGGTATGACATGGTTAAATCTGCACTCTGGGAAAATCTCAGTGAAACAATGGCTTTGAGAGGGGAAACAGGAGAGACTTGAGGCAGGGAGATGTCAGTCAGGCTATTGTAATAATCTGGGCAAGAGGTGATGAGGACCTGAATTAGATTGATAGCCATGTGTGTAAAGAGAAGGGGAGAGATGTTGTGGAAATAGAAATAAGATTTGGCTACTGATTGTATATATGGGGGAAAGGAGGGTGAGGGAAGGTTGGTGGGTGGTGAATAATAGGGAAGTTTAGAAAAGCGGTGGTTTGGAAGGAAGGAGAAGATAACTATCCAACCATGCTGGCTTATCCTCCATGGCTCACTTTATACAACCAAAAAAACGGAAAAGTTTGAGAGGCAGGGCTCTTTCTCACTCAACGCTTTTTTGAAGCAGAGCCTGGCCCTTAGGATGAGATGGCAAATGGAGGAGATGGGAGAACAGTACATGGGGCAAGGAGTTTTGCCTGCACTACCAGCTGCTTGGTTTGCAGAATTAGATTTTAACTGGCCTGAGGGGTCAGTGCCAGAGAGCAGAGTAGAGTAAGGGAGAGTTGGATAATGGGTGAAGGGGATGGTATAGTTGGTTAGAGACAAAGCCAGGATTGGCTATAGGATGTGACCCATTTTACCACCCTCTGATTGGTTGATCGAAAGTCCCCTGGGGTCATGGTATTCCCCTATTGTAGAAACCACTGGCTTAGTGAACAAAGACCAAACTTCTTACCCTGATATTCAGGTTGCTCCAGGATCCAGCATTTGCAACCTACTTTCACAATCTTATCCTCCCCTAGCCTTAGTGCTCCAGCTAAAGTGGATAATTGGCTATTCCCCAAACATACCCTGTGCTTCCCTGCCTTTGCATATTTACCCGTGTATTTCCTTCTTCCTGTCAGGTTTTCTTCCCCTCTCCACCTGTTGAAATCCTATCTCTCAAGGGCCAGTTGGCATGAAGTCTCCTTCAGGAAACCTTTCCTAATGCCTTGGAGGGAAGTAAACTTTCCCTTCTCATCTGTATTCACACAGTTCTCTGTACCTTTCAGTCTTTTAACACTGGCCACATCCTGACCTGCATTGCAGTTATTTTTGTACATGCCTTTTCTAAGCTCACTAAGCTGAAAACAACTGAGTATCATGGGACAGTTGAACCTTAAAGATCATATGTAGTCCAGTCCCAACTTTATGGATGAGCACAGGAATTGAGTCTCTTCTGTCTCCCTCTTCTTTCAAACAGTGGGTACTAAATCAGGTATTTGTGGAATGAATGCGATGCTTTATTTTAGGAAGGTGAATTAATAATGTGTAGTGAAGAGCTGTCCTCAGCCCTGACAGAGAACTATATTGTTCTTCCCTGTTTTTTCTTCCTATTTTCATTGTTTGTGGTTGATGTGGGTATAGCATATGGCACCCCAAGGTTTAAAAATAATATTAAGGGTTGCTTTTCCAGTACTTTGTGAAGACCCTCCTGAAGGGGGTTGGGGCTCATTCTGTAGTTTTCCTAAAGTCCTTTTCTCCTTATCTTGAAATACTGTAGAACTTCTCCTTTTCTTGTAAGAGCAAAAGAATTTTTTTTTCCCTTCGTTATCCTGTGTACCCCTGTCTTTCTAATCCTGTCAACCATCTTCCTTATTCTGTGTCATAAAATTCTTCCTTATCTTGTAAACAACCATCTCCCTCCTCTTGTGTCATAAAATTCTTCGTCATCCTGTCCCTAATCTTCAACTCCTATAAAAAAACCCTAAAACTGCATCATCATCCTGAACATCTACAGACTGTATAGCTTTCTGTTTACATAAGCCTGGTCCTCCCAAATATCAGGGCCTTTTTCATTAGCCTCTAGCTAACAGGGCCTGTATTGCTTTTTCACATAAAACACAAGCTCCCATTGGCTACAGAGAATGTCTAAGTGAATTCTTTCACACCTGAACCGCTCTCCCAAATCTGACCTCAATTTGGTGACACTATACTTTTTCTCTCTCCAAGTTATACTTACCTATTTTTTCTTTCTTCTCACTTTCATTGTCTTTGGTTAGAGATGCCCTTCTCTTTTCTATTCATTTCAAATGCTAACATGCTTCAGGATTTTAATAATTCATTTAGTTAAGGCTCAGAGATCTGAGATAGAAGAGAATTCAGGGCTGTCTAGTCCAAACCACATACTCCTTTTATAAGTAAAGAAACCAAGGCCTAGGGAGGTTAAATGACTTGCCCAATCAAGGTCACATTGGTAGTAAATGTTCAACATGGTATTTAAACCCAGATCCTTCTTTTTGAGGCCAGCACTCCTTCTGCTCAACCTCTCTGCCTTCAGTTTTTTCTTTCCTTTCATTTCCCTCCTCCTGCTCCCTCTGTAATATAACACATACATCAAGAAGTGTAGAAAAGCCAATTTGCTCTGGGTCCAGATCATTCTTCATTATCATGTAAATGAGCCTAAATGTGGCCAGAAAGTTTCCTCCTTAATGATTAGAATTACCCTTCTATTGGGAAGATCTGGGTAGTTTCCTCATGTACCAGAAGCTAGAACAAGAGATTTATTAGTAATATGTTCTTCTTCTCTTCCAACAGTGCCAGGCCAACAGATTTTGACTTCTTGAAAGTGATTGGAAAAGGTAGCTATGGAAAAGTAAGTGATGTTTGGGGCCATGAATCTCTCTCTTCCTAGTTCCCAAGCATTCTTCTCTGTGGTCTCATGGTACTAAGTGTAACCTGTTTTGGACTCACCAGTTTTGAAGATTTGAGCAGCCAATCAAAGAAGGCTACCCCCATCCATGTGGCAAGGGATTACAGTGGGCTCCATGCCAGGCAAACTGGTCATGCTCAAAACATAACCCAAGATTGTTGTTGTTCAATTGTTTTAGTTGTGTCCAACTCTCTGTGACCCCATTTGGGATTTTCTTGGCAGAGACACTGGAGTAATTTGCCATTTCCTTCTCCAGCTCATTTTACAGATGAGGAAACTGAGGCAAATGAAGTTAAGTGACTTGTCCAGGGTCACACAGCTACTGAGCATCTGAGGCCAGATTTGAAATCAAGAAGAGGAGTCTTCCTGACTCCAGGTCTGGCACTCTATCCACTGTGCCATCTAGCTGTCCTATACCCTAAGAAGCCTAGGTTAAATAAGACCTCCTAATCAAAGATCAGCCATTAACTTAGATTTGGGCTAGATATGATTGTTGGGAAGTTTTTCCTTGTATCAAGCCTAAACTTGCCTATATATCCATTCCTGACTCTCCAGACTTCCCCACCATTGCTTTCCTTGCTCCTTACCTCTACTCCTCTCTTCTCAGCTTCCTTTTATGTGTTATCTTCGCCCATTAGAGGGTGAGCTCCCTTGTCAGGTACAGTCATTCTTTTTGCTTATATTTGTATTCCTGGTGCTTGCTTAAGAATGCTTGTTGACATGACCTCTTCCACCCACTATTTCTAGCTCTGTCCCATGCAGCCAAGCAGAAACACTGTCATCTTCTTCCATTCGGCAGCCTGAGATACTTGAAGATAGCTATCATGTCCCCGCTAAGTCTTCTCCATACGAAACACCACTGTTTCTTTCAAATGATTCTCATATGGCATCAACTCGAGGAACTTCACCATCTTGCTTGCCTTCATATTGATGCTTTCCAGCTTTTCAATGTCTTTCCCTAAAACAGCTGGAATTAAACAGTACTCAAGGTACGATCTGACCACAGAGTACACTCCTTAGTCCTCGACAACTTAACTTTCTGTGAATGAAGCCTAAGATGATATTGGCCAGATCCAAGGTACTGAGCTTCTCTTTCTCTATCTTGTCCCACTCCAAACTTCTTCAGACACATTGGTGGCCATCCGTGTCTTCTCCATTTTATACTTGCAAAGTTGATTTTTTTTACCCCAACCATTAGACTTTATATGTATCCATAGTAAATTCATTCTTATTAAAGTCAGTCCTATGGTCTAGCTTGTCAGTGTTTGGAGGGGAGGGGGGAATGTGCTGTTGGGCCTATTAATTATCCCTCTTAGTTTGTGTCAAGATCTACAAAATGGTTATGCATACCATTGATGCCTTTACTCACATCATCAATAGAGTACTTGTCAATTTCCCTTTCTATGTTTCTCAGTTGCTCTCCTCCCCCCTGCCTTCTCAGACAGTCTCAATAGTTGCAGGAGTTTAGAGGAAACAGACCTAATAGAATAGTTTAGGGTAGCTTCATGGAGGAGGCAGAAGTCTTAAAGGATAAATGGGGGGATATATGAAGGATAACTTGAGTTAGCTTCCCAATTTAAAAGCTTGTTGAACCTTTCAGCTTTCAAGGAAAGACAAACTGAAAGAACAAAACTTCAAGTTACCCTTTATATATCTCCTTTCCCAACACTAATCACCTCTGGCCAGCACTGATAAGAACACTCTTTCACACTGAGAATTTCTTACTTAGCCAAGCAAGGACCTTTGTGTTATTTGTGTTTAAAGGCAAAAGAATATGTTGAATAAGCTGGCTAAAGCCTCCTGTTCACTACTGAGTCCCCTGTTCCCATAATTAGATATTATTCTCTTTTTTAAAGAGAATCTCTTAAACATGAGTTTGACAAATTTCAGATATCAGGTACCCATGGTGCCCTATATTTTTGGTGTAGTCATAATAAAAAGAACATTGGTTCACCTTGCTTTCCCTGCTTTTTTTTTTTGTGTGTGTGTTTTACTTTTGTGAAGTTCTCCATTCAGAATGATGCCATTTACTGCAGGTAGTGAAGAATTCTGAATTGGAAGAGACATTAATTAGAGGTCATCTAGTTCAGCACCTGCATTAAAAAAATTAATATTTTATTTTTTCCCCTAGTTACATGTAGAGAAAATTTTTAACATTCATTTTTCAAAAATTTTAAGTTCCACATTTTATCACTGCCTACCTCACCTCTCTTCTCCCTGAGACAGTAAGCAATTTGATACAGATTATAAATGTTCAATCATGCAAAACATATTGCCATATTAGTCATGTTGTGAAAGAAGACACAGACTCAGAGGGAAAAAAACACGAAAAAAACACAGAAAGTGAAAATAATATGCTTTGATCTGCATTCAGACTCCATCAGTTCTTTCTCTGGATGTGAACATTTTCATCATGAGGCCTTTGGAATTGTCTTACATCACTGTATTGCTGAGAATAGTTAAGCCATTTGCAGTTGATCATCATAAAGTATTGCTGTTACTGTATACAATGTTCTCCTGGTTCTGCTCACTTCACTTTGCATCAGTTCATGTAAGTCTTTCCAGATTTTTCTGAAATTAACCTGCTCATCATTTCTTATAGCACAAAAGTATTCCATTATAATCATATACCACAACTTGTTCAGCCATTCCAATTGACAGACATTTTCTCAATTTCCAATTCTTTGCCACTACAAAAAGAGCTGCTATAAATATTTTTGTATATAAAAATAGGTCCTTTCCCTCTTTTTTTTTAAACCTCTTTGAGAGGGGCAGCTAGGTGGCACAGTGGATAGAGCACCGGCCCTGAAGTCAGGATGACCTGAGTTCAAATCCGGCCTCAGACCAAACACTTGACACTTACTAGCTGTGTGACCCTGGGCAAGTCACTTAATCCCAATTGCCTAAAAATAAATGAATGAATGAATGAATAAATAAATAAATAAATAAATCTCTTTGACATATAGACCTGAAGCCCAGTCCTCTTGACTGCTGATTTCATTGCCCTCTCCATTATAGCCCAGAAATTGCCTAGGGCAGGGGTGGGGAACCTACAGCCCCAAGGCCTCATGTGGCCCTCTGGGCCCTCAAGTGCAGTCCTTTGACTGAATCCAAACTTCACTGGACAAATTCCCTTAAGAAAGGGATTTGTTCTATAAAACTTGGACTCTGTCAAAAGGTCACACCTCAGGACCTACAAGGCCACATATGGCCTCCAGGCCACAAGTTCCCCACTCCTGGTCTGGAAGTTATTCAGACTTCTAAGTTTCCAGTGCATCTCTTCCACCTTGAGCTTGGGTTTCCTTTTTGCCCTCCCTCAACCCACATATGAGACAGAAGAGAAGGATGAGCAAGGCAGGGAGAGAGTCTGGTAACTCTGTGACTTCCTGTCTGCCTTATAGTTGGTTCAGAGAAATACTCTGTCAGAATATACTCAACTCCCTACATAACTTTTTCTAGGTAATCCTTTAGACCAGGAATCCTAAAGAGTCCATGGAGAGATTTCAGGGGATCAATGAACTTGGATGGAAAAAAATTGCATATTTATTTTTGTTTTACTAACATTTAACTGAAATTTAGCATTTCCTTCAAATAGGAACTTAAAACAAAAACCCAAACAGTGTTCCGATTAGGGGTCCAAGGCTTCACCAGACTACCAGTAACACACACAAAAAAAGAGTAGGAACACCCTATTCAGACCCTTTTGTAGACTCTATGTCCCTCCTTTTCATTTCTAACTGAGTTTGGAAACCACTGCTCTGTGGCAAAAAAGCATCTTTTAAAATTTTTTTTGGTTCTGATTTTCTTTCTTGAAAGTTGATAAATTTATCTGACTCTCAAATTGTTGTGTCAGATGCTGGCTTGAGTAGCTTGCATGTTATTTGTGATGGAGGGAAATAGTGAGCCAGTCATCAAATATCCTCAGCACTCATTGGGTGCAGACCATGCCCTGGGTGCCCGAGGACAGAGTACATTTTAATGATTAGACATGCTGTGGTCGGAGAGCTTGAGGAGGGGCATGTCTGAAATTCTCAATCATCTCCATTCTTGTTGGCCAACATCTATACTCCCCACATCCCTTCCTCAATACCTGATAATGTTGTTGTTCAGTCATTTCAGCTGTGTCCATCTCTTTGTGACCCCATTGGGGTTTTCTTGGCAAAGATACAGGAGTGGTTTGCCATTTCCTTCTCCAGGGTACCTGATAGTTTCTGATGCCAAGAAACAACCTAAGATGTGTTGGCTCCATTCTCAAGTCTGTGAGTCTCCTAGGAGTGACTTAGTTACAAACTCCCATTGAAGAACCATACTGGTGTTGAGCTCTGACTTGGTGTTTCACCTCCCTGGGAGATTTCCGTAGACCTTATCTTTCTGTCTTTGGCTGCTAAGTGTCAGAGTCTTAATGTAGGGTATTGAGAAACATGGGGTGGTGTCAAACCTGTAGGGGAGTCAATACTACTGCTAATGATGATGATGATGATTACAGTTGGCATTTATATGGTGCTTTAAGGTTTGCAGAGTGCTTTACAAATATTATCTCCTTTGATCCTGATAACAAACCTAAGGAGGTAGGTGCCATTTATATTTCTGTTTTATAGATGAGCAAACTAAGGCAGACAGAGGTTAAGTGACTTGCCCAGGGTCACACTCTGGTCTTCCTGACTCCAGGCCTAGTGCTCTATCGCTGTGCCACCTAGCTCCTCATATTAGCTAATATACTCTGTCTGCCCAGTTTTTTTTTGGCATGCAAAACTATAATTAGGGCAAAGCATCTAGATCTTTGCTCCCAGGGCAGTGAAACTGAGAATACAAAAATTAAACAAATACAATCCTTCAGTATCATTGAAACCACTGTAGTAACTAATTCTCTCTTCAACTCAACTGAATATGTTTGAGTGATTTCTATTTTCTATTAATTTTCTATTTTCAAATTTATTTTGGCA